CCCGCCTCACCCCCTCCCCCCAGGTCTCGGCGCCCCCAGCAGGTCCCCCCCCCCTCCCCCCCAACCATCCCCACCCCCCATGGTCTCTCAGCACTACCTGCAGCGCCCCCTGCAGCTTCCACCTCCCCTCCTCCACATTCCGCATGCCCCATCAACCCCTCCCCCGGCCCCGCCCCTTGCACGCCGCCACTTTCCTGCCCTGCGCCTGCGTACTGCCATTCTTGACCCTCGAGCCCAGGCAGCTGTCTGCGGCGGCAGGCGGTGGCCTGCAGCACGCGGCACGAGGTGGAGCCCACCGGTACTGGGCGGGCCGGGCACCGAGGCCACGCCTCCTGGGTGAGGGGCCACCCCTGGGGGCCAGACTGCAGCCTCCACCAGAACCGGAGCTGCTCCGCGTGGGTGTGGGCAGGAAAGGTTCTGGTGGGTGGCGAGGAGGGGGTCGGCCAGGGTGGAGCCAGGAGGGGGGAGGTGCCCCAGACCAGGAGGGGCTCATGCTAGACCTGAGGTCTGCATGGCCAAGGCTGCTTGGGTAGAGGCTCGAGGCAAAAAGCCTCCGTGGCTCAAAGGGTGCTGAGTCTGGAATTGTGCCCTGGGGGGAAGCTTGTCCAGGCCTCCCTTCTAGGCCTAGAATGCGCATTTGCTGGAAGCCTGCCCAGGCCCACATCTGTTGGTTCTAGAATCTTCTGGACAAACACCTGCTTTAGTTTCAATCCTACTTAGTCCAGCCCCTTCTAGGCCTAGGCTGAGTTAACTTAGTCCTGAGCCGTGTGAGCCCCAAAGCCTTTTGAAGCTGGAACCTTGTCAGGCCTTGATCAGCCCCAAAGACTGCTAGGCTGAACCCACTGTGCCCACCCACACGGCTTGCTTCTTTCTCTGACAGACCAAGTCACAATGGCAGGGACCCAGATCTCTGTCCCTCTGGAGCAGTTCACCAAAAGCAAAGAACCAGAGTTGATAACAGAAAAAGCCCTGGAGGAGGAGGAAGAAGGGGTGTGCAGAGTGAAGGAACACCCAAGCTCTGAAAAGTTAGAGGCCGAGAGCACCCACGGGGCCCTCCAGGCCAAGATCCCAGGGGGCGAGCTGGAGCTCCTGGCCATCCCGGAGGAGGGCGAGAAGCACATCCTGACCCTGCAGACGGTGCACTTGACCTCCGAAGATGTGGAGCTGCAGGACCTGGCACCACAGCACCAGGAAGAGGTGCAGGTGATGGTGCAGCAGACTGGTAGTGGGCTGCAGTCACTGGTGTGGCTTGGGGAGGGGTCCCAGCAGAGCCTGCGCCAGTGTGTCACCATTAGCATCCAGGAGGTGGAGGTGATGCAGTTTCATGTTCTGGAGGAGAATGTGACCGGGGCCAGTGAAGACAGTAAGTGTGCAGTGAGCCTGGCAGAAAGCTCTGGATCTGTAAAGGTACAACTGGTTTTAATAAAATGGGGGGCGGGGGAGGAAGCCAGAAAACTGTTTTTTCGAGTTGCCCTTCATGCAGTATTATGTATGGACAAGCAGTTTAAATTTTGCAATTTAAAATTAAATACAGTAAAAATATTTCCCAGGAAAATCTTGGGGGACCTCATGTTGTTTTTTAAGAGTTTAAAAAGTTACACTAATTAGAATACGGTGAGATGCATCGAGTTTTTAAATTGTATTCTGTTTCACCACCGAAACCCCTTGATGCTTAGTCATTACAGTTTAAGCATTTTGGTTGCAATGGGCCATCTTCTGTGCTTTTTTGATTTGTGTTTTTCTCCATGGATTCTATGGTTTCATCAAAACAAAGAGTTGAATCAGGCAGTAATTAATAGTATTGTACTTGTTTGAATACCTGTTTTTGTGTATTAGCTTGAGAAAGGTCAGGAAGAGGAACAGCTGCTGGCTGAAGGTGGATTCAGTGAAGAAACCGAAGGGCAGTTTTTTGTCGTGGAAGTGAGACCAGGAGATGAAGGAAGAGATGAAATGGTTCTGACAATTTCAACCTTAAATACTGAGAAACCTGCGCTGGGTGGAGCGCATATTGAAGAAGCCAACGCTACAAAAAGTCAAAAAAAGACAAAGGGTAGGCGGCCAGTTCATTTGTAAGAGACTCTTCAAACAACAGGGCTGCTGATTCTCTTTAGGGGAAGGGGACGGCAGTTGAAGTTTGAAGCGGTTGCCTTAGTCGCTTTCAGAATGTCAGGAAATGGGAGAAATTTTGAGCTAACATCCTGTACTGTGAATCAAATCCTAAAGAGTTTTGCATCTTGTGCACAGATGTTTTGAAAGCATAGTACAGAGGCTCCCGAAAAGGGCCGTGCACGTAAATAGAAGTTTGGGCCCCATCTGCTCCCTAGTTTGCATCCCCGGGGGTTAGGGGGTCTGACGGAGACCAGAGCAAGTGCTTTGGGCCCTGGAGAAGGAAGGAGTGATGCCCAGAGGGCAGCAGAGGCTCCCTTTAAGGGGAGGGGATGTTTAGGTGAGACCAGGACAGAGGATGACTCTGACCCTTGAAAAGTATTTGTTCAGCTTTATTAAAAGTATTAGTTTCTCCCTTATTTAAATCAAGAGAGTCCACCCTTGAAGTCTCAACTTTTAGCTCATTTCTAAAAAGTCATATCTGGCCACCCTCGGCTGTTTCCTCCTCCTAGCAACAGCTAGTCGGGGTTAGAAAGAGACTCAGTTTAGAAAGCCACACTGCCACCACTGTCCCTTCTTCTTACGTGTGGTTAACGTGAGTCGTTTAGGCTGATTGCCTCTGGCTTCAGTAGCTGGTTGCATTCGTAACCTCTGCTATATATTAGTTTCTCATATATTTAAGTCAAGGGATTGTACCCCGAAATTCCCAGCTCCTAGCTCATTTTCAGGTTTTTTAATATATTTACAATTCTGTGCAAGCATCACCACTGTCTAATTCCAGAATATTTTTATCACCCTAAAAAGAAAAGTGTACCCATTAAACAGTCACTTCTGGGCATTTCATTTAAATGGAATCATACCCAGATAACACATGGCCTTTTGTGTCTGGATTCCTTCACATACCATAACGTTTTCAAGGCTCATCCACGTCGTCGTAGCACGTGTCGGTATTTCCTTCCTTCACCCCCGAATAACATTCCATTGTGTGGATACACACCATATTCTGTTTATCCAGTGATCTGTTGATCCAGATTTAGGCTGTTTTTACCGTTTAGCTATTGTCCATGGTGCTGCTATGAATATTCATGGACAAGTTTTTGTTTGCACACCTGTTTTCACTTCTTTTGGGTGTATACCTAGGAGTGGAATTGCTGGATACTCTATGTTTCACTATTTGAGGAGCTGCAGAGCTGCACCAATTTACATTCCCGCCAGCCATGTAGGAGGGTTCCACTTTCTCACTATTCTCCATTTTAAAAAATTACAGCCATCCTAGTGTGTGTGAAGGGGTATCCCATTATGGTTTTCATTTGCATTTCCCTAATGACTAATGATGTTGAGTATCTTTTCATGTGTTATTGGCTATTGGTGTGTCTTTGAAAATGTCTATTCAAATCCTTTGCCCATTTTTAAATTGGTACCTGTATTAGCTTCCCAGGGCTGCCATGACAAAATGCCACAAACTGGGGGGGCTTAAAACAAGATAAACAGGGCTTCCCTGGTGGCACAGTGGTTGAGAGTCTGCCTGCTAATGCAGGGGACACGGGTTCGAGCCCTGGTCTGGGAAGATCCCACATGCCGCGGAGCAACTGGGCCCGTGAGCCACAACTACTGAGCCTGCGCATCTGGAGCCTGTGCTCCGCAACAAGAGAGGCCGCGATAGTGAGAGGCCCGCGCACCGTGATGAAGGGTGGCCCCCACTTGCCACAACTAGAGAAAGCCCTCGCACAGAAATGAAGACCCAATACAGCAAATACAGCAAAAATAAAATTAATTAATACAGCAAAAATACAGCAAATACAGCAAAAATACAGCAAAAATAAAATTAATTAATAAACAGCAAATATACAGCAAAAATACAGCAAAAATAAAATACAGCAAAAATAAAATTAATTAATAAACTCCTACCCCCAACATCTTAAAAAAAAAAAAACATAAACATATTCTGTCACAGCTCTGGAAGCTGGAAGTCTGAAATCAGTGTTGATACAGTCATGCTCTGTTGGGAGACTCTAAAAGAGAATATGTTCCATGCCTTTCTCTTAATTTCTGCTGATGCAGCAACCACGGCATCCTTGGCTTGTAGATGCATCCCTCTGTTGTCACACAAAGTTCTCCGTGCGTCTCTTTCTGTGTCTCTGTTCTCATAAGGATACCAGTCATATTGGATTAGGACCCGTCCTAGTCCAGTATGATCATCTGAAATTGTCTTCAAAGACCCTATGTGCAAGTAAGGTCACATTCATAGATATTTGCCATTTGGACTGCCACGGATCTTTTTGGGGAACACAACTCAACCCCAAAACCTTCTGTTCCAAGTTTGTTGAGTGTTTTCATCATGAAAGGGTGTTGGAATTTGTGAAGTGCTTTTTCTGTACCTATTGAGATGATCATGGAGGTTTTTTCCTCCCTTTCTTTTGTCAGTTTGGTGTATTACATTGACTTCCATCTGTTCAACCTCTCTTCCATTACTGTGATAAATTCCACGTAGTCAAGGTGCACAGTCTTTGAAATATGCTACTGGATTTGGTTTGCTAGGGTGTTGAAGATTTTTGCATCGGTATTCATAAGGGATACTGGTCTATAGTTTAGTTTCGGTGTCTTTTTTTTCAGTATCAGAGTAATACTGGCCTCATGAAATGGGTTGGGAAGTGTTTCCTACTCTTCTCTCTCTTTTTTTTTAAAGAGTTTTAGATGTTAGAGTTAAGAGTTTCGTTGTCTTTTAAAGAGTTTTAGATTGCTGTTAATTCTTTAAGTCTGGTAGTATTCTCCAATGATGCCACCTGGCCCTGGGGGTTTTCTTTGTTGAACTTTTTTGATTAATGACTCAATCTCTTTATTGATTGTAGGGCTATTTGGATTTTCTATTTCTTCTTGAGTCAGTTTTGGCAGTTTGTGTGTTTCTAGGAATTTTCCATTTTGTATAGGTTTTCTAGTTTATTGGCACACATTTGTGTATTCTCTTATAGTCCTTTTTATTTCTGTACGGTTGGTAGTACACTTTGCTTCCTGATTTTTAGTTATTTGACTTATCTTTTTTTGGGGGGGGTTACAAGTCTAGAGAAAGTGTCAATGTTGATCTTTTAAAAGAACCAACTTTCAGTTTCATTGGTCCTCTCTGCTGTTTTCTTATTTTCTATCTCATTTATCTTCACTCTAATCCTTATTATTTCTTCCTTCTGCTAGCTTTGAGTTTAGACTTCTCTTATTTTTTCTAGTCCCTTAAGATGTGAAGTTAGGTTATTAATCTGAAATTTTTTTTCTTTTTTAATGTAAGTGTTTACAATTAAAAGTTTCTTTCTGAGCACTTTAGCTATATCCTGTAAGCTTGGTATGCCATGTTTTCACTTTTATTCATCTCAAAGTATTTTACAGTTTCTTTGTGATTTCTTCTTTGACCCACTGGTCCTTTAGGAGTGTGTTGTTTAACTTCTATATATTTGTGAATATTCCAAATGTCCTTCTTTTATTGATTATGTACCTGAGAAGAATGTATGTTCTGCTGTTGTTGAGTGGAGTGTTCTATAGCTGTTTCTTCTGTCCAGTTGGTCTATAATGTTAAGTCTTCTGTTTCCTTGATGGTATTCTGTCTAGTTCTCTTCATTGTTGAAAGTGGGGCATTGAAGTCTCCAACTGTTATTGAAGCATCTCTTCCTACTTTCAATTCTTTCAGTTTTTGCTTCAAGTATTTTGGGGATCTGTTATTAGGTTCCCGTATAATTGTTATACCTTCATGATGGTTTGACTCTTTTATCATTGCATTATGTTCTTATCTGTCTCTTGTAACAATTTTTGTCAAAGTCTGTTTTGTCTATTAGTATAGCCACCCAGCTTTCTTTTGCTTACCATTTGCATGGAGCACTTTTTGTTCAGTTACCACATTAGGTGAGAAAAGGATGTGTGTAGTTACCTTGTATTTAAATGGAACTTGAACACCTCAAGAAAGGTTTTTACAAATACATAAATGTCTCTCCCTCCTACAGAAGTAAAACGAACCTTCCACTGTGACACCTGCACGTTCACCTCTTCTAGAATTTCGAGTTTGAATCGTCATATGAAAACTCACACCAATGAAAAGCCCCATACGTGTCACCTTTGCCTGAAAGCTTTCCGTACTGTTACTGTCCTTCGGAATCATATCAACACCCATACAGGTAAACAGCTGAGAGGGATGTTTCTCTTGAATGATGTGTGTTGAGGCTTAGGTAAGAATGCAAATCGATCTGTTTGTGTATTAAAATAATGCATTTTTTTAGACTTTAATTTTGTCTTTTTTCTTCAATTTTAGTTAAAAACGTTGGATGTTCCAAAGATTTTTCTCATATCTTTCCAGGGCATTTGTGGTTTAAAGAGCCTCTTAATTTTTAAAGCATTTTGAGACTGAGTGTCATTAATAAGTTATGATTCCCTAGGAAAATTGTGGCTAAATCCTGCTTAAAAGAATAAACTATGTGATTTTACAGGAACCAGGCCCTACAAGTGTGGTGATTGTGACATGGCATTTGTCACCAGTGGAGAACGTGCCCGACACAGACGTTATAAACACACTCACGAGAAGCCCTTTAAATGTTCCATGTGCAAGTATGCTAGCGTAGAGGTAAGTTCACTCTTAAAGTTTCGTAGTGTTGTATTAAGAAGCTGCTGTAAAAGTCACGTAAGTCAAACTACTAGTAGAATCTCCTGTAACATCTCTCTGCAGGAAATAATACTCATTTTGTTTCCTAAATTTAATTTTTAAAATGTGATTACTGACTAGTGAAAGCAGTATGTAGAGCTGTACAGATTACAAATAATCTGTGGTCCTTGAGAAATAATTTTCATATTTGTTAAAAAGTTCTACCCTGCATTCTTTGTAGGACTCATTCCACAAAATCAAAGTGTATTTGCTCTAACAGAACAGAGACCCAATCTGAATTTTTGCTGAGATTTTTGAGCTTTCCTCAGTGGCACTTGATTTGATACAAAGCAATGTACTTAAAGATTTAAACATGGCCGGGCTTCCCTGGCAGCGCAGTGGTTGAGAGTCCCACAGTGGTTAAGAATTCCACCTGCCAATGTAGGGAATATGGGTTCGATCCCACATGCCGCGGAGCAGCTGGGCCCGTGAGCCATGGCCGCTGAGCCTGTGCGTCCGGAGCCTGGGCTCTGCAACGGGAGAGGCCACAACAGTGAGAGGCCCGCGTACTGGGAAAAAAAAAAAAGAAAAAGGTTTAAACGTGGCCATTTCCACTCTTAATGACAGAGGTCAACTTTTTAAATCTTCAGTTATAAGTCATGTTCATTTCAACTAGATAAGTTTATTTATACCTTCCAGCAGGTTTAGCACACCCTCAGTGAAACAACAGAACAGTATATTTACTTTTTTTTTTTTTTTTTTTTGCGG